AAAGAAATAATTTTATGAATAATTCAGTTAAATAAATTTTTTTGTTCAATTAAGAAAATAATAATTTTATAAGCCATTCACTTAAATAAATAATTTTATAATAAATAATTCAGTTAAATAAATTTTTTTGTTCAATTAAAAAAATAATAATTTTATAAACGATTCACTTAAATAAATAATTTTATAAATGATTCAGTAAATAATTTCATAACAAATTATGTTAAGTATATATAATATAATAATATAATTTTAGTAAAAGTCACATATATATATATATATATATATATATATATTTATATATAGTTAATTTTTTTTTATTAAAATAATTAGATATATGTATATATATAAATGTTTTTTAAAATATTTATTTGAATTGTTTTTGTAATTATCCTATATATAAACATTTGTATCGTATGTAAGTTTTCCTAATTTTATATCTTATCATCAAAACAATGTTACAAATATGAAACTTTAAAGCAAAGTACTGTATAGTTTTTAATGTGTTGTTTAGATTTTGAATTGTAGAGGATTCAAACTACAATGTCTTTCTGGAATTAGATTTATTTTCCAATTCTTTGAATTTTATGTAATTGGATTATGTGTATTGTGTCAAAATATATCTTGGTTCTAAAATTAAAATATTTTTTTATTCTGTTAAACATTTGCAATGGATTATTGTGCTTTTTGTAGAAATGTATCATTTTGTCATAGTGAGAGTCAACGACTCAGTTATCGAATTTGAATTATCTTCTGATTTTTTAATGTAGCCATTATTTATTTTCAAATTCTTTGAAGATTAATATGTAACTGCATTATTTATTTTCAAATTCTTTTAAATCTTTGTGTAACTGGATATTGTATATTTAATTATTATTTCGTTCTTTAAATATTATATAACGGCTTGTTATTTCAAGATTCTTTGAAATCTTAAAATATGAAACTGGATTATCGTGTTATTTTATTTAAATTCAAATTTAGAGACAATTTGAGAAAAATTAACTTAAAATATATATTAATAACTTATTTAATGACAATGCAGCCAAATAAGGTAAATTCCAATAAACTAAATACTTACCACTAATTCTTAAGAACAAAAGCAAAATTTAACTTTTTCAAAGTAAATTTCATTTCAAAGCAGCCAAAAGGTAAATTCCAATAAACTAAATACCTACCACTAATTCTTAAGAACAAAAGCAAAATTTAACCTTTTCAAAAATTTACAAAACATACTTAACCAAAATATAGTCCGAAACATAGGTAGTAACAAAAAATTTAGTTGCCTCAGTTATCTCCCAAACTATCATTAGCATGTTGCGGGAATGCCATTTAGAAGAGCAACACAAGGTATTTAGCTTCTAGGGAACGAGTCAAATGGGAACTGAACAAATCCACAAAGACCAGATAGAGAAGCATTACATGTTGAAGGACGACAAAGGCTTGTATTATATTACAAAGACAAGAAAAAACTTTAAAACTATACTAACAAATGCACTTTTTGAAATTCTATCACAATATTAGTTATAGTAGAAAACGAAAGCCTCAGAGATCTTGGTGGAAAATAATCATCAAATGGGTGATTCCCATCAAGAGTAGCAAATATTTTCTAGCATCACTGGCTATCATCAGAAGTCAAATAACTTTCAAAATAAAATATATAAAAACCAACTCATGCAACAAATTTAACAAAAACCCAAAACACTCAGAATTACAAGACAAAAGAGTATGAACATGATGTTGTCAGTAGTAGCTGGTTGTTAAATCACATACATACATCAGTGGGAATCCGTCTGATTTTACATCATTCAACATCATACATTCAAAAACCCAAACACAAATCTACAAACTCAAAATTAAAATCAAAGAAAACAAATATAGAATTTATAAACATTAAAAAGATAATTTATCTATCTTGTCACCGAAAATCCTATGAAGAAATAAGGATACTCGGAGCTAAAGATAGACAACACGCACATGTAATATTATACAGATACATGTTTGCTAAAATAACGTCGATCTAGCCTAACGATAGATTCCTTGACATACCAAAACGATGTGCAAAGAATTGCAATATTAGGCGCAAAATCTCTAATAGAATAGAATTAAAATTAAACAAATAATTAAAATGACGAAAGATATGAGATTACAACCGCGGCTGTGTAGGACTCAGAGAGTTGCTTTCTGTGCTCAAAGATGAACCCTTTTCAGAAAAGATCCATCTCATACAAGAGGTGTCAGAATAACGAAGCACTCTTCATCCTCGCCCAACCAAAACTAAGCCAGAAGCAAAACAAAATTGAAATCAAAATTTAGGAAAAAGGGAAGATAATTGCATCTAGGGTTATTCGGAAGAGGCTTCAGTTAGGGTTCGAAGAATGAATGAAAGGATTGTCGAATTTATAGGGGCCTTGTTAGGGTTTCCATTTGTTATTTTCCTATTTTTTTCGTATGGGCTTTTGCGGGCCGGGTCGAAACTGATTACAATATCCACTGTTCAGTTAAGATACAATTTGAACAGATTTGTAAATGGTTTGATTATTTCAAAATATAAAATACTTTTTCAAAATATTAAGATTATATTAAATAAAATTTTAAAAAATCTAAATATATTATTAGTTTCTAAATTTATTAAAATCAACTGCCATAGCTAGTTTATTAATTACTTGAATTTAAGAAAAATAATTATATATTATTTATATTCTTTTTATTACCGGTTAAAACATATATGTTAATATGCATATATTTTTTATTATATTATCTAATTTTAAGGAGTTAAAATTTAATATTTTTATATTAATTTTATATTTTTTAAATAAAATATAAATATTATTTTTATTATATATGACTTTATTTATTATATTATTTATTATATAAAAATAAAACAATAATATATTATTTATTCTACATTATATTAGAGTTTTTTTATTTTTTATGTTTAATAATTATATTCATTTGTTCTCTCTACAATTGTTTTCGTACATCTGAATCATATTAGACTATTTCATGGAATAAATTAAAATTTAATGTTATATTAAGTTTAATTTTGTATATTTCATAAATAATATTTATGTATTCGATTTAGTTTTTATTTAATGTGACCTTCATTATTATATGTTCTTATTTAAAAGATATAAAGAAAATATAACATAACAAAAATATAATATGTTTTTTTAAAAGGCATGATTAATCGTTACAATTTTTATATTTATAAAGCATGAATAAGTAATAAGTAAAATAATAATAAAATCAAATAACCAAGAAAGGTTATTGAGTTAAGCAACAATAAGAAAAGAAGATGACTAAAGTAGAGGGGGAGATTTATAGGAATAGGTTGGGAGAAAATGATTTCAGTTTTCTAGTTTTTGTTACTATATTAAATTGTTACATAGTTTTTATAAAAATATAAAATATTTTCTTAAAAAACTATCAAAAGTTTTATAATGTATTTTTAATAAAAAAATAATTATAAATAATTATATAATTATGATTATAATAATAATCATAATATCTCTTAAATATATAAATAAATTAATATTATTATAATTAACAATTAAAATCAAGTTATTATATTTTAATATATATATATATATATATATATATATATATTTAATCCAAATTGATTTTAAAAAGATAAAAAAAATCTAATAAAAATAAAATTTTGTTGAGTTTTAATTTTTTGTTCGATTTGATTTTAAATGCATTGTATTGTAGAATCACTTTCTTGTATTATTGTATTCTTATAGATTTTACGATCATAATTTATTTTTTCTTAATAGAGAGACTAACCAAGGTAATTGTTTTTTGAAAAAATACCATTATTTTTAGTTAGTTTATAAGAAAACACCAATGAAATAAAAATAATAATAAAATTGAATTTCTAATTTTAAAATTATTTAACATGAAAATTAATTTTAAAATATTTTAAATTAAAATAATATTAAAAAAAACAACATTAACCTTAATTTTTAAGATATTCACTCAATTTAATTTAATTGAAAAAAATAATAATAAACTTATTTATGAATTTGAAAAAAAAATTATACACATGTACAAAAAAAAAGTTAAAAAAATATCAATAACTAAAAACTAAAAGCATAAAATAATTTAATTATATTTTGTAGTAAAATTTATGTGAGTAAATTATTCATCACCACTAATCAAAATCTAATCTTAATCAAAACAAAAATTAATATCTAATTATGGATTTAATATATATTTTAAGTTGTTGAATAAAATGGGTGTATAAAAATGATTCTCTTATGTGATTGATTGTATCAATAAGTAGTAGAGAAGAGAAACTTTTCGAGAGATGAGAGAAGTTTGACCTTCTAAAATTTTGTAACTTATACTAAAATTTATGATTTTGACCTCAAAATTTAATGAGTATTAAATATATATTTATAAATTTGACTTCTTTACTTTTCGTATTCATTTATTATTTATTAATAATATTTTATCTGGACTCCTTTTTTCGATATCAATGATTAAGATCCCCATGGTAAATTACACATATACAAAGATAAGAAATTGTTTTGTATTTGAATATTTGTGAGGGGCTTAATATAAGCATCTTCCTCCTCCAAATTAACTATTCTTGTTAGCTTCCACCTTAATTAAAACTTTCTCTATATTCACAAGTTGGTCAATAAGTTCATTGTGTTTGCTTAACCTTTACCGTAATAACATTAATGTAATTAACAAGTTGACTTTGAAGCACAAACCTATGTTTTGTTAGATTGCCCGCCCACTGTTTTTCTAGTTCATGAACAATACTCTTTCAATGGTGTAATATAGCGATATTACGTGCAACCATTACTTTGGAAGAGTTAAGACAACCATAAGTTTAACATATTAGCTTTAAAAGGGTGAGGAGAATTCTCATCCATCTTCATATTATGGGCAATCATCTTAACATAGTCAACCTTATTTGATTGGACCCTCCTTGTTGCAAAGTAAAAGAGAAATTGGAGGAGGCCTAAAACACAAATTGGTTGTGGTGAAGTTCAATTTGAAATTCGTTGAGGAGATGTTTCATGAGATGAAGGAGTATCAATAATGGCACTTGGCTCTGCTTCAAAAATAACTATTACCTTTGGAGCAGTCGAGGGCAAATTGAGGACAATTACCAATGGCACGTTGGAGGAAGATGCAAAAGTCACCAACTTAGTTTGCTTGAGGGGATATTCAAGGAACCCAATAGGAAAGTTTGGTGGAGTTTCACCTAGTTTGACACATTTTCTTATAATCAAATGAACTTCTCATGACTTTTAGAAAAAGAAAGAAGACAACAAATAAGCAATACTTCTAAAATGAAAAACACAATCACAAATCAAATATTTTACCAAATCTTAACAATAAACTGAGATATTTGATCATTGACATAAGGAATGGAAAATAAGTCTTTAGAACTGATAAGACAAGGTAAATCATTGAATAACTATTATAAGCTTGCCCTTAGTATATAGTAAGTATTCAACTTGGATTTAAACTTAATCGAGGTATTCTAATAAAGTGAAAAATGGGGAGAATCAGTGGTGGAACTTCTTAGAGCATCTCCAATGTAGGGTGCTTCAAAAAAAAAATTTCAGTTGCTTCAAGCAACTATTACATTGGAGTAAATTATGTGGCATATAGGATTGCTCCATCTCAGTAGAAAAATACTTGAAGAAGCAACTGTTGCTTCAAATAAAATATATTATTTTCATTTTCTTCAGCAACAACAAATCAAATCCAAACCTAAAAATATCAAACGTAGGAACCATAGTGCAGGCAACCATGAATCATTCATCATCAGAATCAATTTCAAAATCAATTTCAACATCGTCAACAATTTCATAATCACAGCGCGAACAATTTCAAAATTATAGTCACCAATTTCAAAATCAGAATTACAACGTGAACAATTTCAGAATGAATTTCAAAATTGTACTCACCAATTTCACAAAATGTAAGTACAACATGAACAAATTTAAATCAATTTCAGCACTCGCGGAGGCAGCAGTTGCGGAGGCAACGAAGGCAAAGGTAGCGAACGTAGAGGCATTGGTAGTGGACCAGTGGTCACAGAGCAACGGTCGCGGAGCAGGGAACGCGGAACAACAAACGCAGGGAACGCGGAGCAACGAATGCGGGAGCAGCGAACACGGAGGCAGATCTGAGAGGTGAGGGGAGGAAGAGGGGTGAGACTGAAGTCTGCAAACGCAGAGACACATATGAGAGAGAAGACCTGGAGAATGAGAGGTGAGGGGAGGAATAAGGGTGATATTGAAAAAAGAAGTTACTGGTGAGGGGATGAATAGGGGTGAAATTGAAAAAAAATTGACCGTTACCGGTGAGAGGAGGAACAGGGGAGGAATGGAGAATAAAGATGAAGAAGTGATAGTAGAGGGAGCAGAGGGAACATTGAGAAAATCATCTATCAATTCTATCAATTACAAATTGGACCGTTGAAGGAGCAAATAGCCGTTACAATTTTTTATTTTTTTTTACTATTTTTACACTATAAAATCTCTATCAATGGTAAACAAATTTCACATTTTCTTCATTTCTTCATTTTTCTTCTTCTCCAATTATGGATCCCAATTAATTTAATTATCAGTATTAGTATGATTTATTGCAAAATCATTCATCTCTTACCTATGAAAATTCTCAAAATTCTTAAAATTATATTTATCCAACACCATTTTTTATGTTTCCACCACCTTCAATGAAATCAAATATGAGTAACATTCCTCCTTCATCCAACATAGAACCTCCTTCCTCGAACGGATTCGATAATATCCAACTTGATGGAAGTGGTGAAAATATGTCTCAGAGGAAACCCCGTGTACCATTCTCAATACCAGAAGATTTGATTCTTATTCGATCATGGTTGAACGTGTTGAATGATCCAATTGTTAGAGTTGACCAGTCATTAACTCAATATTGTGAGCGGATCAAAGAAGCATATAACAATGACGACGAACATAACATTTCACAAATAGGTCAGTGAGTCACAATGATTACTTTACATTAAGGTTAGATACAACACGAAGAAAATGTCTATCACCTTTGCAAAAGTGCACTGCTGCTATTCACATATTGACTTATGATTCACTTGTTGATAGTGTGGATGAATATATTCACATTAGTGAAAACATTGTAGTATAATGCTTACAACGATTTGTATTGGGCATTTGTGTAGTATTTGAAAATGAGTATCTAAGGAGGCCTAACAATGAAGACATTGATTGATTACTACAAATGGGAGTCACACGTGATTTTCCAGGTATGTTAGGATCAATTGATTGTATGCATTGAGAATGAAAAAATTGTCTAGTTGCATGGAAAGATCAATTTTATCGAGGTGATCATGCTAACCCAACAATCATTCTTGAAGTTGTAGCATCACAAGACTTATGGATTTGACATGCATTTTTTGGTACTGCAAGGTCAAATAATGATATTACTGTGTTAAATACATTTAACGTGTTTAATGAAGTTATGTCAAGTTTTATATCTGTGATATACTACATTGTGAATGAAACTCAATATGATATGGGATATTGCTTAGTAGATGATATTTATCCAAATTTTGCCACATTTGTGAAAACTATTTCAATGCCACAAGGGCAAAAGAGAAAATTATTTGCTCAACGACAAGATGCAGCAAGAAAGGATGTTGAACATGCATTTGGAGTACTTCAATATCGATTTGCAATTATACGTGGCCCGACACATTTTTGGGATGTTCATACATTGAAGAACATAATTTATGCATGTATATGATTGTTTAGGACATACGACACACTTATCAAAATCATATTGATTATGATATTACGGAAAATGAGATGTCAACCATTGATATATCTTCAAGTCCTCATCCTAGTTTTAGATCTACATACTTTCAAAGAAGAGCGACGGTTCAAGATAGAAATACTCATCACCAATTTCAAGCAGATTTGGTAGAACATATTTGGCAAAAGTTTGGAGGAGAAAATAATGAAATTTAATTTTATGTATTATATTTTTTAGTATTGTTTGATTTTTGTTATATTTATTTAAATATTATGTATTTTATATTATTTTTATATTAAAATAAGGTATTATATTATTAATTAAAGTAATTAATTATTTAATGTATATATTTATTTTTATCAAAAATATTAAAATAATATAAAAAATATATAAAATAATGAATTGTTAAGAGTTGCTTAAAATTTTTACCATTAGAGTAAATTTAAATGAGAGTTGTTTAACTATGATATGACAATATAGACCCTTGTTTTCCCATTTTCTAGAATGAAACAACTATTTTAAAATTTATGCTCTTAGAAGGTGAAGAAGGTTAGGACCCCACAAAATTTTGTAACTTATATGTACATTTATGATTTTGACCCTTTATTCAAACTTAATGATAATTATATATATATATATATATATATATATATATATATTTGTATATTTATAATTTTGGTCTTTTATCTTTTTTATATTCTTTTACATTTTTATATTATTTATTAACAATATATTATTTGTCCCTCCCCGAAATCATTAGTGAAGATTTGTCATTGAGGATAGTCCCTACTATATTTCTCTAATAAAAAATCAAATTTTGAAAAAGATAAAATATAAATAAAGAATAAGCCATCATGAGATCAATTTAAGGAAATCTAGCCAATAATAGTCTTATATTTTAATTGATAAAAACACACGAAATATTTATAAAATGTTTAAGTTGAAAATATAATACAAAATCTTAAAAACCTTAAAAAAAGAAGAAGAATATCTTACTCTATAAATGAAAGAAGAATCTCTAACTTCTTAAACAAACATTCATCTATGAAAATGCAGTTATAATTTTCAATAACAAATTTGACTATCTTAAAATTGGATAAGTCATCTCTTATTGAACAAATCTTCCTAAAAACAATGGGAGGAATATTTTTTGATGAAAAAACAATAGAAAGAAAAGATAATATTTTCTAAAGAAACAAAGGGAAAGAAAAGAGTAAAGGTAAGCAAGATACAACATTAACCCAAGAACAAGACAAGGAACATAACATGACTAAAGAAGGGTCGAAGGATAAGGATCAGAACAGGAAAAATAAACATGAAAATATAAATAAAAATTGATAAAGGAAGAAGACAACAAATATAAGTGATTAAGGAACACTAAGAAAATACTTCCAAAATCATATTGATAACAAAATAATGAACCCTTTATTCACTTAATAAACGTGATATTCACTAACAAGCAAAATGTGGCACTCATTCACCTTAGATAAACATTCCACTTGCATAAATATTTGGGAGGTCTCAATATAAGAGAAACTATCTCAGAGTAGTTACCCAAATAATACCATCTCTGTGATTTTGTAGATGTTTGATATCTTGTACATTAAAAAATTTTCATAGGTAATCTCCCACCATTCTCAAAGTGCCCTGCATAAGATAGAAGAAGAAATACAATAGAACTTACTTAGTCATTTAACCTCATCACTACTGTAAGAAATATATATATATATATATATATATATATATATATATATATATATATATATTAAAACTTTTACTTTTTATAATTTTAAAAATTTAAATTAACTAATTTAATATTTTTATTCATGAATTTTATAACAATTCTAATTTTGATATCGCAAATTTTAAATTTTGTTTTACTCCCTTAAAATTGAAATGTTATATTAAAATCTTAAATATTAAATCCTAAATTCTATAAACATATTTTAATCATTTTAAATTTAGTACTTAGATATTAAAATTATATATATATATATATATATATATATATATATATATATTTAAATTTTAAGAAAACTTGACTCTTTTGTTTTCAAATTTAGAGGACCAAAATTAGAATTATCCCTAATTTAAGGATTAAAAACATGACAATAATGAAATAAATTTTGAAGTAAAATATTAATTTAATTCTTTTTATTTTTATGTCTTCAATTAAAATAAAATTATTAACTAATATATAATTTGTTTAACTATATAAGTAAATTAAAATTGTAAAATATGGTAAATTGATTACTTGTAGGCCTCTTCGAATTCAATAAAACTCAATGAGAATGGGTATTACAAGAGTCCAACTTTGATCTCGACCCACCTCATTGTCATGCGTAATTAAGAGAAACCATTATTTTAAAAACCTGATAGAAAATATTTTTTTGTTAACTCTTTTCAAAATATTTCTCTTTCTTAAATTTACTAAAACCATTAATATAATTAAATCAAAAGATCCTATACACTTTTACATCAAAGACAAATGTCGTTGAATTTTAATTTTACCACACGAATGCACTAATATTAACAGTATAATCACTGACAAATATAATTTATACTGTGACCACATAACTCATGGGGATAAGAAATGACCAATTTTTCTTTTTAATTCCTCATGTTTGTAATGACTATATTGAAAATATAAACTACACTAGTATGATGCAAATGAAATACAATCGATTTCAGATCTATATATGAAATCTAGAGACAAAAATTTACCCAAGTATCAAATCTATAGGTAATCATTGATGACTGAGGTGGGTTACGCGTTTGTTATATTGTCAATAATTTAACCAACTATGAGAAGTTACGCTTAGTGCATTTTTTTAAGATAATCATTAAAACTTTGGTGAAAGGCACATCTACAAAATCACAACTTTGGAGGCCAAGAACAAGTGGGAGAAACTGCAGGAGACGAACAGGTGCAGAATGGATTCCCCCGTCGATGGCAGTAGACTAGACCTGGCTTAGCTGTTAACTTTTAGGAACTGCACGTAATGCAGTCAGCTACACATTCCCTCATGTTTTGACGGGGATTTCAAGAACGGGTCCAAGCCACTGACAACTCTAGAGAATAAAAAATAGGATGAAAACAAGTAAACTTTACATAAAGTAAACGAGACCTGATTTAATTATTTGGAGACGTATTTATAGAGAAGTAATCCAAAGTGCTGATATTTTGGCTTTAAGTTTGATCATTCTCTTCAATGATAGACTATTCTCGATTTTTTTATTCCTAGCACACTGATCCCGCCAGTTTCTATTCTTGATTTCACTTCCATCAGCCAACCAGAATTAATTTATGTGGGCACTGAGATCTGTTATATGATCAAACCATTCCTTCGTAGTCAAACTAATAGATGATATTTTGTAGAAGAATTGAGTACAATATATTGCAAAGCACATGACTTAATAGACATTGTACGCTTTGAAATACTTCCATATCTCTCTTGTTATATTGATAATCACAATAAAAGCTATGAGAGAGAATCAATCAAATAGGGGGCGACCTTTCTCAAGAACAAGGTTCCACCATGTCTTTTCCTATTCAATCATCATCAAGAGTTGCAGCTACACCAGAATTGAAGTATTTCGCAGAACATTATAGAAATGAAAACATTATACTTTTTATCCTTAAAAGCTGTTTGTTCACCACTATCATAAGGGACAGGAAATCTAAATGGATGTCGGTGTCTATACAGCCTATGCATTCAAGTTACGTATCCTACACAACAAACTGACATGAGTAATTTTACCTCTTCAATAAAACTAGGCTCAGAAACGAGACAAATAAATTGATCCTCATATAAAGACAGTAAACTAAAATGGAAACAACAAACCATAAACCTACCCTGATTACTAGCTAAATAATTGCTAGTATTCCATTCATTATTTAAGAAGAAGATTCAACCATTTTGTTCACATCCTCCAACAGCCCTTTCATCTCACTCTCTAATTTTGCCTTGATGTCAGATGATTTAGCATCCGATGCTTCTAGCATTGATGTCAGACCCTGAAGTTTCTGCTTTATGTAGTTCAATTTGGATGCTTCGCTACCTGGTGACAATGAGGTAGATGGCTCGGCTGGAGTCTTGACTTTCTTCTTCGTTGAAGATGCTTTGGACTTGGATTTTTCAGACTTGGAACCAGAAGAAAGATACTGGAGTCTGAAAGTGGCTTTGGAAGAGCCGAAGGGGTTCATGTTCTGTGAATGGCTTAAGGCCTTTTCAGCATCAGAGGCTTTCAGGAAGAACACTTGAGCGGTGTAATCACTAGAGAACATAGCCGTTTCTGATTCATTCAGAGCACCAAACTTACTACACAGTGTGATAAGATCTGATTTAGAAGGCAGAGAGGATCCTGGCTCAAACGAGACAAAAAGGGTAGCACCTGAAGCATTTTTATCAGTCCCCTTCTTGCCAGCCTTAGCTGTAGCAGACTGCTTTTCTTTAGGCAAACCTGAAGTTGTCTCATTCTTTCTTCTCTTCCTTGGTCCCGAGTCTTTATTAGCTGATATATGATCAGATTGTATTTGATCTTTCCCCGGCGTCCCGATATCAGATTCTGGCTTCTTTCTCTTCTTGCTAGGTTTATGCTTCTTGTATATTTTGAAGTAGGATCCTTGGCGAAATAATGAGTTTCTAAAGATAAAAATAAAGTTTGCAATTCTTTCAAGAGAATTGGTATCCGTAGGAGTTTGTGGATTAATAGCTGTATAACAGACTTCAGACAGTACTACATCGGATGGAACCTGGATTTTCGTTGTATCAATGGTCTTGTTCTCATCAAATTCTGATGTTTGGTAATTTGAGCTATCAGGAAGGTCCTTTCCTTTGGCAAGTTCCTCGGAAAATTTCTCCTGAAAGGCCTCACCATTCAACTTCCAAGGTACAGGGGACTTGAGAAGTTGATCAGAAGCTCTGGTCAGTGGCTCTGATACCTGCTCTTTGCCAGAAACTTTAGGGGATTCTGTTTCTATCTCTCCTTTTCTCTGGTCTCTGGTTGGAATAGTGAAAGGAGGGGACAGGTACTTACTTTTCTTCCTTTCTCTTGACAAAGAACCCTTCTCATTTTCTCCTTTGGCCTTCTCTTCTTGATCAGTGTCCATTTTGCTCCCACTGGTAGTGTTTCCAATACCAAATGCCTTCTTTTTTTTCAACTGCGCCAATGCTTCATTGTCAGTATTCTCTTTGCCCCAACTAAAATCATCATGCTCAGCACCTGCCATATTTCTATCAGTATTTGAGAATATCCCTTTTTTCCTCTGCACAGGTTTAGATACCATTGTATCCTCACTGCCTTTCCTCTTCCTTCTAACAGTCACTTTATCAGCTGCATCTCCCTCCTTATTCTTGGCATTGACATCTTTGTCCTCTCCCATAATTTCAGCAATACTTTTCTGCTTAATCCTATGATTCAATCTATTTCCTGAAATCCCATGTGAAAGACTCCATTCACCAGATTTTGGGCTCACTGGCATGGTAGAGTAGTCCTCTTCAAATGGCCCATGGACAGGTACTTCCACTGCACCCTCACTGCTGCCTACATTTTTATCCCTTACACTATCTTCAAGTCCAGGAATTGGCTGGGGTGCCTCATACATTGGCAATCTATAACCTCCTCTTGACAGATAAAAGGCTGAAAGCCTAGCCTTCAGTATTTCCAGCTCCAGAACATTAGCAATGGAAATAATTTCAGCTAATTGTTTCACTCGAGAAAGTACTTCTGCTGGATCAATGAGAACATCAGAAAGTTTATCTGTGCCATTTTCAGGTATAGGAATTCTCTCCTTGACACCAGAATTGCCCGCCAGTGGCTGAGTAAATTCAGTTTTATTCACAGCACATGAAGAACTCATTTTCAAATCCAAAATCCTTCCAACCTCATTTACAGCTTCCTGCACAGCATTGACAAAAGCCCGAGAGCTACTCTGTTTCACCATATCCTCAAAGTTCTCCTCAAATTGCTTCAATTGAGAAGGATGGCACCAAGCAAAGGTTCCATCTCCAAAATAAGCCACAAGTAGTCTATTCTTTTGTCTCAGCTTCAAAGCAAAGTCAGAAGCATCAGAAGGGTCATAAATCCTGCCAGGCCACCAGGGATGACTCTTAATTTTTCCCCAAACAAAATCACCAACAGAAAACCGGCCACATCCTTCATCACCCAAATCTTCAATCTCCATATCCTTGTTTTCACTTGTATCAGCAATTGTAACATCTAAAGACATAGTTTTCCCATTTTGATCATCCTCACTCTCAACTTTGGTCGGATCTCTTCCTCCTTCCATTCCAACCTCAAAAAAACCACCGTCAGTGTTCAACTTCCCAGTACTATCACTCTCACTACCATGAGAAAACATCAAATTCCTACCACTCTCTCTCATCTTTAACAAAGAGGAGACCCCATTCATCTCAGAATCAGCCAAACCTTGACAACCATCGTCCCTTTCCCTTCCCGCAAAACCCATCTCATCCGAAACCTTGGTCTCAGAGACCCTGCCCTTCACCACTTCAACACCCCCACCACCCCGACCTTGGTTTCCATGGCCAGAGAAACCAACCCCGTTTTCTGAGGTCCCATTTTTTAAAGCACACAGAGCTTCCCTGAGCTCATTCTTGTCATTCTCTGGAGACGGCGATGAACACCCAGATGGATCCTTTGATCGAGTCTCCACAGTACCCATCAAACAAGAAATTTCCTTCCTCAAGAAATCAACCTATGCTGCAAGCATAAACAAGAAAATCAACACATCCTAGGGTTTTGTTTAGGTTCCATGAATAAGTAAAAGGGGGAGAAAAAAAAAAGAAAAGACAATCAGAATATGGGGATTTAAATATTACCATTAGTTAAAAGAATTGATACTGATATAATAAAAAATTTAAATGTACCAAAAGGAATCCATTATCAGTGAACATAATAATTAAAGAGGAAACTATGCAGCAATACCTGGGAGGACCGAGAAAACTAGGGTTCGGGAGAAGCTTACTTTGTGTACGAAGCAACCCTCAAATCAAAACCATTGACTTGAGGATCTGATCGGATTGACATGCAAGATGAAGAATGTGGTTTTTGGACAACACATAAATATTTTTTATTTATTTATTATTATATTGTTAATCTTAGTAGAAACAGGAAGATGCAATCACAGTCAGAGTCACGGAGAGGGAGATAGAAAGCAAATTCTCGGATTGTTGAGTTGCATATATCGCGATATTAACAGTTCTTCTCATTTCTCTTGATTTTTTTGTTGTTCTCACCGGTGGAAAGTTCTTTACCATATTTTACAACTTGATGTTACTAAATTTTACAACTTGATGTTACTAAGGAACAACTTGCACTTGCTCGAGTAAGAGATGGTTTCTACTTGCTTTATATCAATCTTATATTTATTTGATTTTTTTTTCTAATATTTAACTTAAAAGAATTAAAATATATTTTTTCAATAAATAAAAAATATAAAAATTAAGATTAACATGAATTTGAGATAAATTATGTCAAATTATAAATAAAAAAATATAAAATAAAGAAAATATAAGATAAGTGAAATATAAATTATTTAACATAAAAATGTATTAAAGATAAATTATTTTTAAAAATAGAAAATAAAATTAATTAAAATGTATGTGTGATTACATACATGTTATATAATTTATATTTAAAAAAAATAAGAATGATTAACAATTTTATTAAAAAAATAATATTTATATGAAGACATATTAAAAAAATATTAATTCAATATAATTAATTCATATAATATTTTAGTCTATTCTTTTATTTGTTTGAAATTTTATGAATTTTAACTCTTTCTATATTATTATTATTATTATTATTATTATTATTATTATTATTATTTCAACCTCGATGAATGATAATATTTTTATTAAGAATATTCTGGTTATAGATAATCAAACTTGATACTTATTTAATGATGTGAAAACAATTATAAGGAGGTTAAAGAATTTGAGATTAATGGTACAATCTCAAGTATGAAATATTCATGTACAACCATTTTAGTTGATGCTAAATTAGAGATTTGATAAATATATATGGGCAACTATCTTTATAAGGCAAGGTCTACTTCCAAGATGAGTCTCTTTAAAGTCTAGATTTCTCCTTATCAAATTGTTTAACCAAAATGTACCTGATACAATACTAATCATTTAGAAAATATGTTCACTTTACATCTTCGACTAACTTAAAGGCTATTTGTTAACAATCCTGGAAGTGGACGAAAAAAGTCTTCAATTTTTTTTTTATCATAAATATTTAATTAATTAATCATTACTTAAAAAATAATTTATTACTAGTTAATATTAATTAATGAATATAAAAAATATTTTTAATGCCATCATGTGAACCATATAATTATCATGTCATTATAGAAAACTCTTTAAAATTATCATCAATATTTGACAAAAATTTAATTTATATTTTTTTTCTCAATCAAATATTTCCTTTAAAATATAAACATTTTTCCTTTAAAATATAAACATTTTGATAGAAACATAGAAGAAGAAAATCTTCCATTAAAAGAATAAAAATAAGTTTTTTTTTTCACAAAGAATAATAATAACTTGTCTAATAAACATGTTATTACATATCAATCACAAAAGGATGATAATCACTACACATAATTATCATTACTTAGAAAACTAAAAATTCGATTAGTAACAAGAGAAAATAAAAAGACAAATTTTCTTGACTACCTCTCCTCTAAACTAAAATAAACTAAAATACTGTAGATTTCAGTTTAATTCATAATTCAGACTCCAATCAATTTTCTTAAATTAAGAATTCTTAAAGAGACTTATAAACACACACACACACACACACACATATATATATATATATATATATATATATATATATATATATATATATGTGTGTGTGTGTGTGTGTGTGTGATTTGTGCTTCACTTCTATAATGTTGTAGATCAATGGTGCCATCATTATTGTGTTCCCACTAAAAAATAATACTTCACATCTATATGTTTGCTTCTCCTATGTAACACTAGGTTCTTAAACATTTTAATAGATGAATTATTATCACAAAATATTGTGGTTGCAGCTGATTGTTTGAAATTCATTACTTCAAAAATTCTCCTTAAACAAATGGTTTAATATGCACATGTTGTAGCAATAACAATTCAGCTTCAATGTTTGATAAAGTAAAAATAGGTTATTTTTTAGATGACCATGAAACAACGTTTGTTCTCAACATGAATACGTAACTAAAAGTACTTCTTTTATCATATGGATCATTTGCATAATTACTATCAGTAAATCCCAATAAACTAGACTTTTCACCTTTATAAAATAACTAAAAGTTCCTTGAAAATAATGAAGGATTCTCTTCATAGCGAACATATGCATTTCTATCGGATTCTCCATATGTTTACTAATGATACCTATAGAAAATATTATATTTGGGTGTGTTGTAATTAAATACATCAAATTGTCAACAATTTGCTCATAAAGTGTGTTGTCAACCTTCTTTCATGTTTTTATGAATCTTTAGGCTATGCTCTACCGAAGTGTTTGTCAAATTATAATCCTTCATTTGATATCTATTCAAAAAATTTCTCACATATTTCTTTAGACAAATAAAGATTTCATTAGGTGATTGAATTACTTTTGTACTTAGAAAGTAATGCATAAAGCCAAAATCACTCATTTCAAACTCATCCATTATAGATTTCTTAAAGTTATCAAACATGAAATTGTAATTTCTTGTAAAAATAAGATTATCAATATACAAGCAAATCATAAGCAATATACCTTTATCTCCAATTTTCACAAAAAAATGTGTGCTAAAAAGGACACCTTGTGAATCCATCTTTAATATTCAATGCGACTATACCATGCTTGTGAAACTTGTTTCAATTCATAAAGGGATTTCTTTAATTTATAAACTTTATGCTCACTTCCAGCCTTCATATAACCCGATGGTTGTTCAACAAAGACATGCTCCTTCAAGTGCCACTGTAATAATGTTGATTTAACATCTAATTGGTAAATAAATCAAACATTTCTAGCTTCTAAGGCAATCATTAATCTTATTGTGTAATGTTTTGCAACTGGAGAAAAAACTTTTGTACAATCAATCTCATATTGTTGTTTGTAACTCTTTGCCCTAAATTGTGTCTTGTACTTGTCAACTTCACTATTATTTTTTCAACTTTATCTTAAACACATATTTTGCACCAATGTTGTTGCACTATTTAGGAAGTTCACATAATTCTCATCTATTATTTCTTTCAATGACATCAATTTCATCATCCATCGCCTCTTGCCCTTTCTCTTCCTTGAGTGCATTGTCATATGCTATAGGATCACAATCTACAAATAAAACAATATGAGTAATTGATTCAGGGAGTTCAATCTTATGAAAATCATCCATTCGAACTAGTCTTTTTCTTATTTAATGAGGTAATTCTTCTTCATTCCATGATTTGTGAAAGAATTGCAATGATGATTAAAACAGTTCTTTTTAGTGCAGAAGAAATTAACATTTGTTCTCTTTCTCATCATTTTCATCTAGTAACACTTGGGTAGGCTACTGCCTTTTCTAATCCCAAGTTTTTTCTTCATAAAAAACAACATCCTTGCTAGTGACAATATTTTTTGCATAAGAATTAAACAATTTATATGCTTTAGATATTTCACTTACATAAAAAAACACAATATTTTCATTTTTGTCATCAAGTTTTTTTTTTTCTAATACGGAACATGGGGAAGGATAATACATCCAAAAATTCTAAAGTGCTCCACGTCTAGTTTTCTCCCACTTCACCCTTCTCTTTGGTGTCATATTTTGAATAATAAAACTTGTACTTCTAATTAAAATATGAACACTCTAATTTACTACTTCAAGTTAAAATTTCTTTAGAACTTTCTCTCAAGTTAATAAGCTCCTCACCATATTCAAAATTGTCTTGTTCTTCCTTTTAAATACATTAGTTTGTTGTGGTGTATAGACTATAGTGAGTTCTCTTCGTATATCATGCTTTTGCAAAAATATTTTCAAAATTTTTGAACAATATTCACTACCATGATTAGCGTGGATGGTTTTAATTTTTTTTCCAAACTCATTTTCAACTTGAGCTTTACAAATCTTGAATGCAAATAATGTTTCATATTTGAGCTATAAACTAGGCCCAAGTTTTCCTTGAAAAATTAGTAGTGAAGGTAATGAAATAACTTTTACCTCCGTTAGAAGATTAATTTATTGGATCGCAAATATTTGAGTGTAGCAACTCTAACACATAGTTTGCTCTCCTTGACTTATTATTAGGAAATTGAGAATGATGTTGTTTCTAACAACATAATCCTCACACACTTGGGAAAGATCTTGAATTCGAGGGAATCCAGTAACCATGTTCTTCTGAGAAGTTTCAATCCTCCAAAACTCAAATGACCATAACCAAAATTTCATAACCACGATGAATCTTTGATTTCAACTACCAAGTAAAACTTAATCATTTCAATCTTCAATAGAAACATGTTGGAACTCATCTATACAACAACAATAACACCTCTAATAGGATCATATATTTCACAAACACCTTGTTTAATAGTAATAATATAGCCTTTTTATTGTAATTGACCAACACTTAATAAGTTATTTTTCAAATTAAGAACATACATTATAATTGATATTATTTCCACAAAATTATTCTTAGTTTTAATTTAAATATCATATTTACCACTCACTTCTATAGAAGAGAAATCTTCAAAACTAATAGTCAAATGAAAATCTTCATTTAAATAAGATAAAGAAGGCTTACACTAGAGACGGAGGGAAAGGGGGCAGCAGGAGTCACGACCCTCCCACCCCAAATCAATTTTATTTTATTTATATATAACAATTATTTTTAAAAAATTAAATAAAAGTTATTTGATGAATATAAATATTAATTTTTTTTCTTTTTTCTCATAATTTTTTATTTATAATAAATATCATTTTTATTTTTTACATAATTTTCACTTCTACTTTTTTCTCTCTTTTCCTTCTATTTTCATATTTTTATCCATCTTCTCTCACCTTTTCATTTTTCCATCAACTTTTTCTATCTCACACTCATTTTATCTTTTCATATTTCTTTCTTTTATTTCTATTATTCATTTGCATTCATATTTTTCTTTCATGTTTTCATATTACAACATAAAAATTATAAATTTTTCTCTCTAGCTTTTAATTTTTTATATTTTTATAATTTAATCTTGTAATTTTTTATTCTTTAGTTTTTTTAGTTTTTTTTTTCTTCTATTTAAGAAGGCATAATACAAAAAAGTTAAAAAATAAATGAGATATGTCAGAATATTTGTTTTAAAGTAAAAAATTAAACAAATTTATTTTCTTTATTAATTTTATTTATTATTATAACAAATTCGCATGTTGAGTGTAATATAAAAATATGAAATATTGATATAATTTTTTTATTTGTTATAAATTAGTTAATATTTTATGATACTTTATTTTGATGTTAAATAATATGAATATATAAAAAAATTAATTTGAGTTTTAAAGATATCTAAAAATAAAATTATAGACTCATTTAAGAAAAAGATGAAATAAACTTTATTTTCCAAATTTAAACTCAATAAATAATTTTAATATATAATATATTTATTTTTATATGATAATTAATTTTTATATGTTGACCCCCTCATCTAAAATATTTGGTTTCGCCCCAGCTTGTGCCCACTCATGTGATTACTACATCTTGTAAAAACATACCAAATTTTTGAGTCCATTTTGTTTTCTTCATGTACAACCATCAACAAACTTTCTTTTTCTTTCATTTTCTTCATAACATGTGAATTTCCCCTTTTTCTTTATCATTAGACAGTCAAGTATAACATTTAGAAACATAGTGATCATATTTATGACATTTAAAACATTCTACCTTAGATTTGTTATTATCACATCTTCCTTCACTTTTGTTGTAAAAAAAGTCATTATTACCTTTGAAACGTCTGCTTTTCTCTTTACATCCTTCATATTCTCTTCCACGACCTTAACCCCTTCTTCTTGAGTTGTTGAATTGAGTATTTGAAGAAACTTTCAAAATTTGTTAATTTGTGGTTGAATTTTGGTTCATTTTTTACTCATGAACCAATAGTGAACACTGCAATTCATCAAGAGAAAGTGTATGTATGTCTTTTGAATCCTTAATGGAGCAAACAACATAGTTAAATTCAATTGTCATGGAATATATAATTTTTTTATATTATAGTAACATCCTCAATTTTTTCCCCATGACATCTCTTTCGGTTTGCAATCTTCATAATCCTCCTAAAAAACCTAGTAATAGTTCCTCCATCTTTCATCTATAAAGTTTCAAAATCTCTCCTCAAGATTGGAAGTTGTGTGCACTTCGCCCTGACGAACCCTAACAAATTTTTCTCTAAAGAACTATATAATTCTGATTTTTCATTCTTGATATAAATATGTAGGAGAAGGTCAATCATTATCGAGCCCAAATAAATAATTTTTCAAAATGTTTTCTTTTTCTCTTTTCTCTCTCTTTTTTTGTATGATATTTTAAGGAAAAATAAATATTTTAAAAAATTATATTTATTTTTGCACATTCAACTAAGAATAACCATCTTAGGACTGGACGTTGTAGGGTGCTAATATCTTCCTTACGCGTAATCGACTCCTGAACCCAAATATGATTTTGCCATTTTTTTCAAGGTTTTTCCATAGTTTCCCTTAATAAACTATGGTGGCGACTCCACTTTTTATTTTTCTAAATCTCTTCATATTTTCTAAATATTTTCTTATTTTTTCGTCACCCCGTCATGGCCCTGGTTGCGATAGCATCAATGATATTTTTTTCAACATATAATATCCTAAATAGAGTTAATCTAGCAAAACTTCTCTTTTAAATATTAAAATGTACAAAACTTGTGCTCACTTGACCATTTTAGATTATATAGTTCAAAACATTGTGTCTATATTATTTTTAGAAACCAAAATACGAAATCATATCCTATATAGTTCAACGATCAAACGTACAATTAACTAATATGAAGTAAGATCGATGAAAGGAAGATTCATTAGTACAATATAAGATTTTTATGTCTGTTATTTTGAATTTTTTACGTCTGGCTAAACTCCGATGTTAATGTTAGAGACGTGAATTTACGTCTAATTAACTAATCGACATAATTTTACGTCCAATTACTTGATCAACATAATTTTATGTTGAATGATATCATAACTAACATAAATTTACATCAGATGGTATCATAATAAACATAAATTTACTTTTATGGGAGAGAAAATGAGAATGAGAGAGAAAATCTTATCAGGAACATGAGTGACCAAGGGAGAAAGCGTGAGATTCTTGCCCCTGTCCTTTCTAGCAGTTGGCTAAGTCACCGTAGCTGCAACCTAATGAATTATATGTTGTAAACATAGTGTGAAAATGAAATGAATGAAGAAGTAGAAGAAAATGACATGGGCATGAGAAAAGAATGTGGAGAAGCATAAGCATTGAGGAACATGTTTAGGATGGTGGCAAAGATCTAAAAATTAGAGAATGAAGAGAAACAGAGAAATCGAAGAAAGAGTATGGATAGAGAGACCTGAGATGTGCCCAAAAAGACAAGGATTTCTTGTTAGTGGTGGTGGAAGTAGAATAGAAAGGGGAGATGGAGAGACTTTAAATAACATAACCCACAAATCATGGTGGTGGTTATCGAGAGCATAAAACAATTACTCCTGTAGCTATACACTTGCATTCCCTTTCCTTGTCTCTCTTCAACTCATCCTTTGTTCTTCTCTCTCCAATCCAAAATGAGACTCACTCTGCACTTTGTGGCGACTGGCACAGTGGTTCTAGTGATCGCTTGGGTGGCGCACATGCGCAATGGCTTAGAGGAAGACATGGAAGATGTGAAGCTTGGACTGTATGAAGTGTGTTTTCTCTTTCTGGTGCACATGCGTAAAAGAATAGACCTTTTATGTTTGATTAGACTCCGACATCAACGTGAGAGATGTAAATTTATGTTAGAGTAACTAACCGATGTAAGTTTATTTCTAATGGTAACATAATCGACTTAAAATTTTACCTTCAAATCTTGTATGGTTTTGAACTCATCTATCTAATCTCGTAGAAGAAACCTGAGACGGAACCAGATCTTGCACGATTTTGAACTAAAACTTGAATTATTTCTCAAGGTAAGTTTACTTCTGATGGTAACATAATCGACTTAAAATTTTACCTTCAAATCTTGTATGGTTTTGAACTCATCTATCTAATCTCGTAGAAGAAACCTGAGACGGAACCAGATCTTGCACGATTTTGAACTAAAACTTGAATGATTTCTCAAGGTAGGGCACAAAGCATACATACTAACCTCTTATTTCTTCTTGTTAGCCTCCTTAACCATTATTTTCTTCTCAACTTTGGACGCCCCTTCTTTTCTTTATCTTCTCCAAGTACTTTTTAATAATGTTACCATACCCAACTATTACAAGTATAAACCCATCAAATTTCAATTTGAGACATTCATGCATTACCGTGAATGAAATCTCCTTAAACAACCACAACTTTATTTTCAATAAAAATAAATAAAGACATAGAACATTAATCTCGTAGACACCTAAATGCTCTAATCCAGTCGGAGATAACTAATGGTCACTATAAGCTCAATATCAAGAATGATACAAAAGATTTGAAATGCTTTAATAAAATCCCAATTATTCAGATAAAGTTAAGTAAGAGCTAAGTTTAATTTAGACAGAATGACACACTCAAAATCAGAAAAGATAAGGTGATATTTAAGTCCTTAAACCAACATTCATAAGCAAAAATAAAATTTTTCTCCATATTAGATCTCGTAATGTAGACTCAATCAAAAGACGAGTAGTGCTTTACTACCATTATATCTAGATTCTATTAAGAAGCAACACCAATGTATTGACAAAAATTCAATAAACATGAGAGATTAAAACTTAGAGAGAGAAGTTATCGAGCCCAATGCGAATCTTATGACAAGAGAAAAAATGACTAATTTTTAAATATAATATTTATTCAAATACTCAACCCCATAAAATTTTAAAATATTTTAAATTGTAGGTTAAAATAACTGAGTGAAACTCGTATATGAAAATATAATTAGAAAGTCGATCTAATTAAATAATAATTCAAAATTTTAAAACATATATTCGTTCAATCTCTATTTAAAAAAAATTGGTCTTACTTATATACTATATGTTAATATTTTATATATGATCTTTATTAAAAATATATTTACACTTGGATAAGTTATTATTTGATATTATATTATCAATTTATCTTTATCACCTATACTATATAAAAAAAACCCTCAGTTAAAGAATAAATCTTTATAACTCATTTTCAATTTTTATAATTCTTTGTCTTTCATTTTTAAAGAATATTTAATTCATATTACTCACACACTTGCTCCTCAATTCGGTAAGAATAATAATCATAACTTGATATTTGCTCTTCATTTATTAAATTTTAATTAAAAACCTAATTTCACTTTAATTTCTTTTATAGTTATTTCCAATCAAGTTTTAATTTTCCATATCGGATGTAATGTAGTGAATGGTACCTAAGACGTATAAACATCGAATATTCGTTTTCTTTTTTCATTTTAATTATATGCAATACTTTTCTTAAAATAGGTAGTTTAATTAATTTTTAGTGTTATTTTTATTTGTTTGACCATGTTAGTTAAAACCATTTATATTTAGTGCCACTGCTACTGAACGATGTTGTTTTAATAGCCACCCGATCGATGTCAACATGTTCGGTTCGGTAGAAATACACCAAACTAAATCCTCCCAAAGGATGAAAGTGAGATCGTTGAAAATATTTATTGAATATGTGACGCTTGCTAACATAGACTTAAGAAGACAAGGAAATTGTTTTTATTGGCTATCCTAAGGAGAGATTGCTCGAATTTATAGATTAACATTGTTTAAATGATTAAATAACTTTGTAATTATTAATATTAATTATAAATAAAAGTTATAATATCTTAATTTATGTATATTAATTATTACAATTGATAATATATATTTTATTATTTTTATTTAAATTAGATATTAAAATATTTCTATTATTTTTTAGTTTTTTAAAATTGTTTAGAATAAGAAAAAAAAACATTATTATTTTGATTTAGTAAGTTAAGAATGAATTTTTATTAATATTCAATATTTTATGGTATTTTTATTTTATGTATAGAATATATGAATAAAATATTATGAAAAGTTTCTCCGTATTATATATCTTTTGTTTATAAAAGATATATTCAAATCCAAAACCCAAAAATTAGTATGAGAGTCTTGATTCTTCCTAAACTCTTAGAATGAAAGGAGAAATAAGTCTTTTATAAGTCGCAATCTCCCTTTTCAATATTGAAAATTATCTTAAATATTATTATAAAGACAAGATTTATAGGAGTTGGGAAAAAATATTACATTATTGATATGTTATTTGAAAATCTAATCATGACTTAAATCAAAATTCAAAAGAAAAGAAAAATGAAAAAGGCAAAGTGAAATTATGTTTATCTACATATGTTTCACAAATGATCCTTAATAGAATCACGACTCTAAAGTCACTCAAAGAAACTTGAAATTTTTCTAAATAAGAATACACAGGGAACAAGAAGATTCAAGGCATAAAAACTTTTAACATGATAAGGAAATTTGAGTTGCAAAAAGATAAAAGAGTTTGAGATAATTAAGGAATACTCAATCAAATTGTTGAGTATTACTAACAAGATAAAATTGATAGGTAAGGAGCTTCCTCATTTCACACTAGTAGAGAAAATTCTAATAATGGTGTAAGAGAGATATGAAACATCTATTGCTTTGTTGGAAAACACAAATGTTACATTGCCTTACAAGCATAAGGGTAATAAAGATTGATGAGAGGAAATCATATTGTTAAAAGTGATTTACTATATCATACTAAAGGTTTTCTTCAAGCCAGAAACCTACAAAGGTAGCGGTGTTTTTTCTCTTTATATTTATTACAAGAAAAAATAATCACTCATATAACAAGTGTTGATAGATACCAAATATGAAATATCACAAATGTGGTCAATTGGCTTATGTAAAAAAGATATGTAAATATCAACTTCAGAAAGAAATTGTCAAGGTTATAGAAGATGAAGTAGAAGAGGAACAATTCTCTGTATAACAACATGCTTTACAACCAACAAATCCACAAAAGGTTCACTCATAAAGAGTGGTTATATAAAAAGTGTTGATATTTTGACACCACAAAAAGACACAAATATCTATTATGCAACCATGTTTATTAATATTATATTCATAAAGTGATTGTTTTAAAATAAAATTAATTAAAAATTATCATTTTATTATAAATGAAGTTGTTGAATGGATGCTTATTGATAGTGGGTTATTAATTTATTTCTTTCCTCATATAAATACACTACAAAAAATCATTAATTACCGATGATAATTACCGATCGAATATGTAGTCGTCAAAAAATGAGTGACAAAAATTACCGACGAATATATCCGTTCGGTAAATATTTAAAATATATCAAAATATATAAATATATTTATATTTATATATTTACACGGATATACATTTACTTGTATATAAATATAATTTATTTGTATGTTATTATCCAAAAACTATACTAGCTTAGTGGTTGGAATATCAACCTCCAATTAATTTGATAATAATGTGGCTTCTAGATAAATAATAATTCAAAATGTAATAAATAATAAAGATATAGTATAAAGGGATAATATTTATTTACCGACGAAATTTGTCCGATAATTCACAATAGAGAATAAAATATGAAAATGTACGAGAACAATTATAATTAAAAGTCATTTTGATGTTAAATTAATTTTTGATTTCTTATATATTTTTGGGATTAATCAAAATTTGTTAAATGTTGTTTAATTGTTAGAAAAATGTTAAAAGATTTATTTTTTCAAACACAAACTTTTTTGTTATTAAAGATATAAACAACTTACAAATTTTCAATGTTTATACGAAAGAAAAAAATATTTTACTTTAGATTTCATGAAAAATGAGTTAACTACAAAAATATATATATATATATATATATATATATATATATATATTATATAAAGCAAAATCAAAAGAAAATAATGATGATACATATTTCTTCAAAAAACTTGATGTGAAGGAGGAGAATGAAAACATAGATGAAAAACAAACTTATAATATTCATAGAAAAATTAATGATAGTATCATAAAATCCTTTTAAAAAAGAAGATGAAGTTGATAAAAAAAGAAATATATCAATAAAAAAAGTGAAATTGAACAAAGATGAGTAATCTCATTAAAAAAATAATAAAAATGACTAGAAAAGGATGAAGAAAATAAATCTATAAAAAAAGGAGAATCTAACTTAAAATTCAAATAAACTAATATTAAGATAAGGATGATGTTTAGAAATATATATTTTATTTAAATTTGGTATTAGAAGAATTTTATTATGTTTTAGTTTTTTTTAAATATTATTTAGAATAAGATAACAATTATATTGTTATTATTTTACTTTAGATAGTTAAGATTAAAATAATATTAATAATTGATATTTTGTTATACTTTGCATATATAAAACATAAAATAAAATATAATAAGAAACTTCTTCATATATATATATATATATATATATATATATATATATATATATTATTTATTGTATATCAAAAATATATTTAACATGCAAAAATTCAACAATTATATCGATTTAGGTCAATGACGAGTTGGACTCTCGTTTGCCAGTCCAATAAGAGAACCTTGGTTGATATATTTTAGTAATTATTAAATTGTTATCTAATAAAAAAATTTCTTTGATATAACGTTACAAGGAAAACCTTACCAACGCTGAGACAAAAATAAAAAGTTCTTCCTCATTCCATCATTTGTGATTCATTTTCGATAAACATGAATTTAATCTATTTTCCATGTACATACACATCCCTAATTTTTCATGAATGTTATCAACATGTCATAACTTTGCACCATTATGTTTTTAAAGCCTATCGCAGATAATGCAAAATGGGAAAGACACAGAGAGAAGTGGCGTGGAACACTCGTTGAAAAAGAAATTAGAAGTTCCAACCGCGTTTGACTCAATAGAGAACTTTCTAGAAGTTGCAGAACAATCTCAAGATAGAGGTTTGGCTTGTGGAAGAACAAAATAGAGACAACTTTAAGACAACAATTTTACATTTGAACATTTCTACCCCAAACATCCTAAAAGGACAAAGTTTTAGAGCTAAGAAAGAGTTTATTCATTTGAAAACCAACCTCTCAACTAGCCAACGACACATTGCCACACCACACCTAAGCATTATGTGCGTGACTGAGTATTGCTTATTGATATATATACTTGAGTTTAAATTCAATATTAAGATGGTTTGTAATAAGTTTATAAAATACTTTGAGTCTATTCTAACAAAGTTTATTAAACCAATTTTGTCATTCACAAATATTTAGTTTCATGTTCAAGATTCAATTTTTTGGTGTAAAAGAATGTTAGGTTAGATTTAAATATATTTTGTCAAATGATATCAAAGACTATCATGATGAAATATGTTGATCTTATTGTGTCAATGATTATATCATCCCGTATTTAATATATTCGATCCGTGTCAAATTATAATATATAAACAAATATAAATATAAGTTAAACCTAAATTCTCTTAGGATGATAGTTAATTTTCCCTTAATTAGTTTATTTATCCTTCCCGCCATATCACTGAGCCTGATGGATTTCCTGGTTTATTAGCCTTATTTAAACTCCTAGAGTTCACCTGCAAACAATTCCCATATCATTTGTCAAGTGGGAGATTCCCTAAACATATGAAAAAAGTAATGGCAACATGGGTTTATCATAGCCAGTTCATCTATCAAGTGAGGATTAGCTAAATCGAAAAGAAAAAAGAAAATCTTATCCTCTCTAGCCTCTAGATCAGGGTTCGGAGCAAAAGAAACCACTTTCACCATCTTCTATATTCAGCAAAAACACTGTTCAGTATAAAGCAGCAGAAAAAGAAAAAAGAAACAATTTGAGACTGACAAGTTATATGTCCTGGTTTTATCGACAAGGATCTGTCTGAGTTTGAATCCATAACTTCCCAACTCTGAATATATTTTCTGCAAGTCCTTAGAAGGGGGTAAAATCCTAGGCATCGTTTGGATGGCACAATGTAAAAGAAGATATGATAGGACTGCAAGCACGATATTTTATGATTATGTAAGTAATCCAATATTATCCTGATGGTGATGACCAGATTAGCAGTTCAGAAAACGAAACTATTAGATAATACACGGACTCTTACTTTGGAAGTTTCTGCCAAAGGATGCCCATTTATATATTTTGCTTTTGTTTTTGGTACAACAACCGTATGAACAATATCACTGAAGAATGGTCATTAAGTGAATTGGATCGGATACAATAAATTGTCAAAATATCCTAATCCTAAGCTTATCAATGTTACAGCTTGAAGATCGGTCTAAAATCCGTTCACACTCGTACCAATGAATTGGTAATCTTCTTAAGTGTGTCACCATCTGCGGCGCTTTTTCCCATAAAAGTACGCAAATGCAGCTATTGATGCAGCAATAATAACCCCAGCAGTAGCATGCCAAGCATATAATGGTTTCTCCAAAAGTAGGTCCGAGGCCCGGATCTCAACCGGGGGTGACACCGCTGGTTTCTGGCTAACTGAAACCGCAAACTTCAAACCCAGTCTCTCCAGTTCCGTCAAGTCTTCAATTGCTGGCCTTAACCTAGTGACCTTGGCTATAGCTTCATACTCTTCTTTAGTTCCACCTTCAAGGAAAGCCCCAACAAGGTGACCCTTGCTTACCCAGTAAGCTCCAAATGCACTGCCTGACATATCTCCATAATAGACAACTTCCCCAACATTATCCCCATAAAATTGCCAAGACAATGTGAAGATTCTGGAGTAGAAAAAAGGAATGTAGTCAAATTCTCCTGTTTTGTCTGGTTCCAATATGGCAGCAACAACATGTTTTGCACACTTCCGAGCTGAATCAACATGCTCAAGTCTTCGAGTTTCCCCAAATGCTTTGACTGGAAATGCAGCAACATCTCCAATGGCATACACTGAGCCGTTGCTTGACTGCAACATCCCATTTACTTTGATTCCACCTTTCTCCAAAGTGAGCTGGCCTTCAAACAGACCTGTATTTGGACGTATTCCAATTCCCACCACAACCATGTCCACAGATAGGGTGCTTCCATCTCTAAGATTAACAGCTGTAACCTGTAAAAAGCTCCAGTCAGTTATAGGTTGAATCAATAGCAGGTAATATTCATACATAGTAAAATTGGTTTTATTCCTTCTAATCATTTGCTTCTAGGTGTTGTACGGTTGGTCGTCATGAACCCTATCAACTAGGAAATTTTCACTTCCAACTACTAAACATAAGCCCCTATCTACTGGCTTGGAGATTACAAAATCATTTCAGGATAAATCATCAACTTTTTCAGTTTGAAATTGGAAAAGGTTTGGCGCAATCAATCTCCCATATATCTTTTCCTTTATAGTATAGAAAGCCTTTTTATCCTTCAACATAAAAGGCCTTTCCTAACGGTGTGTCAGAATTTCAGCTACATGTATCATCAAAAACCAAATTTTGGTATTGTCATTTAGATCGAAGTGATGGTTTTGGTAAGAGTTTTGCTTCGCCTTCTTTTTTTATTATTTTTTATTAAGTATCCTTAAAATGATTAGGGCAATAGGATATTTTTTTTCTCATTTAACCACACCATCTCAAGTGAGAAAATTTTAAGAAAGAGTTTTAGTACCTTCCCATTGGAGTCAAAATCAAATGATGATAGCACAGTTCCCTTAACGAAGTTTACTCCTCTTGATTTATAATATTCTTCATAGTAGTTAGCTATTTTCGTGGTAAATAAACGAGCCACTGCAAAATAAACAAAGCATTGAGAATATCTATCAGTTTTAGCAGTTGTTTTCATTCAGTAGAGCCACAGATGGAAAGTTGTTCAGAACAACTGGCACAAATAACACACTCATACATTATGCGTAAATTTTGAGTTAACAGAAGTTTAAAAAAAAATTCCTTACTGCAATGTTCCTCGGGGAACACCATTGTTACATTTATTTTATTGATCACTAGAGATGCTGCACACTCCATGCCTATGTATCCACCACCAATGACAACAGCATTCCCTCCAGGACAAGATTGCATAACATTGACAAGCCTATTTGCATCTGCTATATCTCTTAAATAGCAGACATTTTCTGCATCTGATCCACTCACCCCAAATTCTTCCAGCTTCAAAGCCTACATTTGACATTGCATGTGTGCTTAATATACTGTAAAGAAAGCAAAAGGTCCAGTATCTAGGTATGTTGGTGACTTCATCCTCAAATTATTCCAACACTAGTATTTACAATGTTTATGACGCAGAGAAGTTGTTCATTAGGTTAAATATGATGTTCCTCGGAAGTAAAAGGTTTCACATCTCTTTCAAAGGCAGTGATATTGGATTACAAAGTTTGATGTCAATAAAACCTATGGGTGTAAAATAAGCTCTGATAGACTGGTTTGAAAGGTTTGAGAAATAGAACATAGGTAAAAAAATTTGCAACCTAAATTGAATAGACTTATTTTGACTTGATCCATTTAGACTATGACCTACATAGGTTTAGACCAGACTAGTCCATAGACTTATGAGCTTACCTACTTTATAGAATAATAATTATTTTTTAAATAAAAATAAAAATAATATTATTTTATTAAAATTATATATGTATTATAAATTAATTTGATCATAACTTAAAATTATTTTAAGAGTAAATACAAGTATAAGTATCTAACATCCACTCATTTTACAATCAAATGGTAAGAAGAATTATTATTTCAGATCAATAAATTAATAAAAAAGAATGATGAATAAGTTTTTAACTCTAATTTTGAGATTGAATGAATTCATTCTTTTGTAATTTATATATTAAATCATTATATTTGAAATAAAAATTAATTTCATTAATATAATTTAAATTTAAAAAATAATTTTTTTATTTAAACATTTTTTAATTAATTATTTTAATATAAACACATTAATATTCTTTTTTTTTTTTAATTTTCAATAGACAAAAATTGGCCAATTAGTCTGTTGGTCTAATATAGGATTAGGTTAGATAAAAAATTATGACCCATTTTTAAATATAGATCAGGTTGGGTCTTTAATTTTTTTTTACTTGACTCAGTCAAGACAGTTCTTGAAAACGAAAAATACTAGAAATACATGGCAAACAGCCACAACTTCTTTCAATTGTTTTTCTTTTCAAAAGCGTGGTATGCATGTCCTTTGAGAAGAAAAACTGATTATTTTATGTAGGGAAATTCTGACTGAGAGATTTGTTTTAATACCCGTGCACCAGTAGCAACAATAAGAAACTTGTAACTTATGGTCTCTCCAGTTGTTGTTAAAAGTGTCTTGCGTTTCACATCAGCAGATTTAACTCCGGTTCCAAGAACTAATTCAATCCCTAAAAATAAAACAATAGCAATTGTAAACTAATCAAATATTCAAGATAAGAAACTCTTTAAAGAACATCATGGAAACATTAAACCCAGATTAATGGTAACCACTTTTCAGCAACCAGCATCATTACATGAAGAAAAAATTTGGAAATATTAAACAGGAAGTTACTTTCTAGAATAATAAAATAATACTAATTACCAATTCCAATGACCAAATCATCAAGCAATGCATTGGGGTTGCTTCTTTTTTACTTTCGCCATAGGCAACAACAAAAATGAATTGACTTATACATTGGTGTGATGCAACTTGAGATAACCCTCACTTATAAAAAGAAAAAGAAAAAAATAATAACTAACAAAATGTTTTCGCACATGTTGTTCAGAGTTGCAGTTTAGCTTCCGAATAAATGCCCAGAATTGCCTGGTCACAACACAAATTGTTCCTGACTCACCCCACTAAATGCAAGTGGAAATGATCATACATGGTAATAAATTCAAAGAACAGGTGAAATTCCAAGCCTTCATATATAAACTTCCACCATAAACATAGCTAGCTAACATGTACATATTAACTTAACTAGTTTTATTTAGAAATTCTTTGCTTCTCAATATAAAACAATTCACCCAAAAACTAATAGTTTGTTTTCGAAGAACTTTCACTCAGAAATGTTGATTCAGTTGGATTGCTAGATGGAATCAACTATTGAACTAGACCATTGCAGTATGAAATCAATGCATGCAGCACAATATAAATAACAGCCCAAAGAAATCATTCACTGCATGTCATATCAAAAGGGGGAAGATTAGTAGCATCGATAAATGACAGCATTATAAAAAATACATCAAGGTGTAAAAATAATATAATTACCATGTTCTTTATACCATTTGGGAGTTAGCCTCTCCTCATTAGCACCAACACAGGTATGAAAGGATGGAAGCCGTGCAGCAGCTGTATGTTGCAAATTTATTTCAGCAACAACTCATTACAAAATTTTTGTGGATAAAGCTAAAATATGGAAGAAATAAATGCACCACAAAAATAAGAAGATTCATCTATCAATAATATTTTGAACGGTAAGGAAATGAAATCCATCTAAATGCAAGTACTCTGTCCAATCCGTTAAGGACTGAGAATTTGAGATATTCCCTTGTAATCCCAGAGCCGGGCTCCACTAGAGAAGACAAAGCAAGTCTATGAATCTTATATAAGAAAATGATCCGACTTACTGATAATTTCAACCCACAATTTTGATCATTTCCCTTCCTAACTTTCTAATATATTCTTGCAAAATCTTAGGCCGATGTGCTGCTACTTTATTCATTAAAGTCCTGAGCTCTGCCACAATTCTTCAAATTTGTAACCAGTCAATTTCACTCATTATACGTATAAATATCAGATTATTTTGAAAAATAGACGACACACCACACAAGGAGCCTAAAGTTGGCTGCGGCATTCAAATTTTCAAGCATGACGAAGATATCAATTAACAGGAAGTTAAGACTTTTACAGATATAAAGGTTTCAGCCATATGATAATCAGAGAGGGATTTTCAATTTAGACAGAAGTCCTGATTAGAGCATTAGACTCTTTAATGTATGAGAAACAGAACATTTTGCAAAGGAAAGGATTAACTGACCAAAAGAAGAATTCAAATGATTTCAAGAGGGCAAGTTTTATTTCCATGAATCAGTATTGCACAAGATACTTTTGGAAAAAAAACCCTAAACTTGAAATAACCGGTAGATAAGGTGTCATGAGGAGAGTCTATACCTTCTGGAAGCAAAAATCCTTTGCTCAATGCAGGTCTTTCATAAGGTGCAACCTGAGACAAACATTTCAGGTTATTTACATACTTGTGACCATATAAAGAAGAAAAATAAATAGGCAAGGTCATCAAGCGATAAGAAAAACAATCCCACTTCAATGGAATCAATTACAGAAGCAACTCTAAATCAATATTGTAAAATAAAAAAATAAAAACTCCAAATAATTTGAAGGTTGGGACGACAAAACACAATTGTGCAGAGCAAATTTACATAGGCAGACCCAATAAAGCTTAAGATTTTAACAAAAAAAAAAAGGGAAATAATTATTCATACTGGTTCCTCGGAAATAATACAGAGTTCACCATGAGAGACCCCTTTTTTGACGAATTCAAGAGCAGCATAGCCAGCAGCCACGCCTCCCCCAAGAATCACATACACAAAGGCTCTCCCCATTTCCCAACTTCACATCCACACAACGCAACGCTACGAAACAAAACGCCTTCTGTTATATTTATCTTCAATTCAATTTAAAAATCGAGGGTGCTAAATCTTTTGGGAGCGCTTTCTTCCAAGACACTCCCACAAAATCTGAAGATCACGAACGGGACCCACGACCACGACGGAGATAGCTACTGCATTTACCCTAATACCCCCAAATCATACCCTCTGCGAACACAAACGCCATTGTTTCCACACATTTTAAGAAAATTATCCATCTCATTGCTTTCATCAATTTTACGATAATTTTTTTAAGATACGAAGATGTTTTGAAGTTAAGATTGTGTAATTCTGATTTTGTAATTTATGATAATGTTATGATTGGAAATATAACTACGTTTTAAAATACGATTGGTTAGTTGTTAATATTTCAGGAAATATTTTCTAAATTTTAAATTAATTAAAATAAAATTACAAAAGATAAGGGATTGCAAAGTAGTATCTTCCCTTATTTATGTGAAAATTTAACTTTTTATCATGGAAATAAAGATTGTACAGATAAAATAAATATAATTCTTTTAAGAAAAAAATATATTAAAAAATATTTTTTTATAGTTTCTAATAAACACATAAATATAAACTCCCGTCTTTATATTTATATTCTCGTTTTTATATTTATGAAGATGAAAACAAATTGTGTGAAATAAACGTCACTTAAGCCTATAATTTTATTTTATTTTATTTTTAATTTCCTAACCTTATGTAGACATTTTTTCATAAATAATACTGTTTTTAAAAATATTTTCCAAAATAGCACCTCTCGCAACTTTATTTACACAACTAGGATCATTTCATTGTTCACGTAATAAAATAATATTATTTTGCGCAACTGTTTACTGATCATGTATTAAAATAATATTATTTCGCGTAATGAACTCTCGCTCAAGCGAAGAAACCCCTCGCTTGAGCGAGGAAATCTGTAACAAAGGAGTAATCTCGGGTTAATTATCGCTCAAGCGAAGAAACCCTTCGCTTGAGCGAGGAAATCCGTAAGAAAGGGTTATCTCCGGTCAACTCTCGTTCAAGCGACGGCTATTTTGCTTGAGCGAGAAGTGATTAAAATATATGGTGACCCAAGTTGCGTTATGTGGCTAACTGCGTTGGACGTTTAGCCAAATAATGCAACTTGGGTCACCACATATTTCAATCACTTTTCGCTCAAGCGAAAATACCCGTCGCTTGAGCGAGAGTTGACCTGAGACTTAGGATAGCGGTTCTAGAACTAACCGCTATTAAAAATATATTTCAAAAGAACTTCAAAAAATTGTTGTGAATCCTTCTTGAAAAAGTGCTAAGGTTTGCTTGAATGATTGCTTAAGGATGTGTAAAAACTGATATTCAATGTATGTTTAAAAAATTCAAGCAAACTGATTTTAAAGAGTATTTTCAAAACTGCTGCATTAATTAATCTGTTGAAAGTTTGTTTTAATATGTTGAAATAGCCGTTTCAATCTGTTAAAAGTCATTTCAATCCATTAATACGTTCTTGATTCTTTAACAGATTTGTTTTAGCTGATACTACAACGGTTATATCAATTAAAACACTTTACAAAACTTTTCTAAGTTTGGTTCAATCGATTGTTTCATGTTTTAATCGATTGATATACTGCAAAACTTTCTTATAAAACATTCCAAGTTATTTTAGCTGATAAAAAGAAGTTTTAATCGATTAAAACTTTGTACAAAATTTTTCCAAGTTGTTTTAATCGGTTGAAACGCGTTTAAAAATTTTTCCAAGTTGTTTTAATCGGTTGAAACGCGTTTTAATCGATTAAAACTCTGTACAAAATTTTTCCAAGTTATTTTAATCGATTTAAATGCGTTTTAATCGATTGAAACAGATCTGATCGGTCATAATTCAATTCTGATCGATCATAACCATCTCTGATCGGTCATAACTGCATTCTGATCGATCATTCTGACCCTTTAAGTGATTTTAATCGATTGAAACGTGTTTTAATCGATTGAAATAAGTTCTGATCGCTCATATTTCAAATCTGATCGGTCATAATGGGTTCTAAAGGGTTTTAATCGATTAAAAGTAATTTGTATCGATTAAAATACTGTAAAAACACTTCTTTGATCATTCTAAGCCACTCCACAGAATTGATGCTTGACAGCCCCACAACCTCAAGCACTTTAACCCTGAGTAACCAACCAACCATCAGTTAAGAAATTTTAAATTCTCTTTACATGCTATCATCCCCATATTCACCTTCAATGAATCAATTACAGTCAGCTCCAGGTAAAACAATACAGAAACAAGATAATTTCATAAACAGAACAAACTCCCCTTTCAGCAACATCATATAATGCAACCTGGGTCACCTGCAGGTTTTCTCGCTTAAGCGATGCAGTTCTCGCTCGAGCGAGAATTGACCAGAGCTAAACGTCCAATGCAGTTAGCCACATAATGCAACCTGGGTCACCACATATTTCAATCACTTCTCGCTCAAGCGAAATTACCGTCGCTTGAGCTAGAATTTACCCGAGATTTTAGATAGCGGTTGTAGAATTGACCGCTATTAAAAGTATATTTTACATAGCGGTTAACGTGGAACCGCTATTATATGTCGATTATTTTAAAATTATGATCGATTATTTCACGTTATAATCGATTATAAATATATTCGCTCAAGCGATGAGTATCTCGCTTGAGCGATAGTTGCCCACGACCCAACTATATGTCTCACTTTTAAGAGCGGTTAATATTTTAACCGCTCTTAGAAGTAACATATAATAGCGGTTAATTCTAGAACCGCTATCTAAACCCTTTGGCTAAACGTCCAACGCACTTAGCCACATAACGCAACTTGGGTCACCACATATTTTAATCACTTATCGCTCAAGCGAAATATCCGTCGCTTGAGCGAGAGTTGACCGGAGATAACCCTTTCTTACGGATTTACTCGCTCAAGCGAAGGGTGTCTTCGCTTGAGCGAAAGTTCATTGCGCAAAATAATATTATTTTAATACGTGAACAGTAAACAGTTGTACGAAATAATATTATTTTAATCCGTGAACAGTAAACATTGCTAGTTGTGTAAATAAAGTTACAGAAGTGCTATTTTGGAAAATATTTTTAAAAACAGTATTATTTATGAAAAAAAGTCCCTTATGTATATGTCGGTAGATATAAACCATCGCAGCCGTTCATCTTGTCTTTGCATTGTCATTTGCTTGTGTGTTTTTTGTTACATCAATTTGCTCTTCGAGTAGGCTTTCAATAACCGGTCAATATATTATTATTACTTTAAATTTTAATGATAGAGTGATGATTAAAATAGTATTAATAGTTTTATTTTAATGATTAAATATATAATATTGTAATTTATGATGTTAAAAATTAAACCAAAACATAAGCGTATAGTTTTTAATATTTTAAATATATATATTAAAGTTTAGAAAAAAAATAGTGCATGATATTTAAATTAAGATTACAATAATAAATATCAATGTTTATAAATAATAACACATTTATTTATTGAATAAAAAAATCAATATTTTGGCTGATTTTATTTTATCACAAAAATTATAAATTATAATTTTTTAATAGTTTAATATGTTTTTAGTTATTATATATATTTTGGGAAAGTGAAATTAACATATTAAAACACAATTTTAATCTATTAAAATTGTCACATAAAATCTATATAACATTCTTATTTGTAATCATTTTAATAAGGTGTAAGTTTCTCTCCCTGGTTTGATATTTAATTTTTAAAAATTCCTTAAAAATGTTTTAGAACTTATTTCAGTATTGAAATGCTTTAGAATTTATCTCGGTAATAAAAAGATTTTAAGGACTTAAAAGATATTTTTAATAAGCTAAACTTTTTTAGATTGCATTTTAATTGATTAAATAATTATTTAAATTAAAATCATTTAGAGTCATCACCACTCGTTGAGGGTTATGTTTTAATATAGTAAAACCAACTTTTAATATATTAAACCCTTGTTGGGTCTTAAGAAAGATTGTCAAACTTCTTTGTTCTCGTGAGTCTTTAATAGATTAAAACTTTAAGAGATTTAAGAGAGATTTTGGAACTTCTCTTATTGAATTGATTTAAAGAGTTTTAAATAGATTAGAAATTCTTTATGTTTTCACAATTTTAAACAATTCTAATTTAATACGTTGAAATGTAATTTTAATCCACCAATTTCATGAGTAAGTGAAACTAACATATTAAAACACAATTTTAATCCATTAAGACGGTCACATAAAATCTATATAACTTTCTTGTTTGTAATTAATTCAACACAGGATTTCAAACCTAAGTTTCACATATCATTTTTAATATTGAGAGGGAATTGATATTGAGTTGGAAAATTGTTCTTAGAGCTTTATTTGGTGATTACAAAATTATTCTTGTGATGTAAAAGAGAAACTCAATCTTACACCTAGTTTTTTATCATCTTACTTTGCTTGTTGTGTTTCCAAGTGAAGTTGTTCAATCATTCTACTTTAACTTTCGTGTTGTATGATAGTTTATGGATAGACTTTCTAGATTCAGTGTTGTGGCAAGGTGTCACTAGATTAGGAATCAACATGATGGAAGTTAAATTTCCTCCACCTTAAGCCACAAGAAAAGAACAAAAATATTCAATGATTCAAAAGTTTTTCTTGAGAAAATTTGGCACTAATCCCCTCAAGGAAGGTTTTTTGTGGGAAAATAAGAGAAGTTAACTCCCAATTGACTCGAAAGAACAAGGGACAAGCTAATAAGTAAGTACAAACAATTTTTTATTCATAAATTTTCAAGTGCAAATACAAGGGTGAAGGGTTCCTTATACATGTATTCTCTCCCTCACCTTTCTCTCTCCCACTCGATGTGGGACTACTCAAGTGTTATAGGAGTCGCACAAAATCGCCTCCCTTGCAAGTCTCATCTACTATAATTTTGGTCGAGAATGAGATAATAAAAGAAGAAACTTCTCCTTTGTGGTTGCCATGA